TTTAAGAATGTATTTTTTTAGAATAATGTGGCTCAAACAGGTTTATTTTCCTTCTCAATTTCAGATCGACTTAATATTTCGTTTCTAAAGCGGGTACAAGAAAATTTACTATTAATTATGAGTAATCATTATACTTAATTTAACATCCTTATTTAAAATATAGCCCATCTAATGATTAGCTCTAATTACAGGTATTCACAACAAAAGCTATAAAACTATTATTAGCATTATCATTGATCAACAATGAATTCTTAATTTCTGGTTTCAGCTGGCATTTCTACGTGTCCTTTGAGAAGAGTTTGGAATCACTTTACCAACTAATAATCAACTTAATAGAAGCCATTCACAGTTCCAAAAATTCAATTCCATATGATTAGCATTGCCTATTATTCTGTAGTGGTGTCGCTTTGCAGCCATCTTAAGCTACCTCTCCAAATCTTTACATTCATGTGAAGACGAATAGTCTAAAAAGAGTAAACCGTTAAAGGTTTGACATCAATTTATTCGTTTTATCTTATCTTTAATGTAAGACTCCCCTTCTCATTCATCAATGGTCTTATAAGCAAAGCTTTCTCGTAAGTGAGAAGCCCTTGAATTTTTCTCAACAATTTCCTTGTCATTTGATCCCATAATTAATGCTCACTTAATCTCTCGAATAGTGGATTAGAATAGAGAGATCTATTACATAATGGTATAATTAATCTCTCGAATAGTGTATTAGAATAGAGAGATCTATTACATAATGGACTATTGACAATGAAACTTAAACTCCAAGGCTTTGGAACTGTATTTAAAGTTTAAGATGAGATGATTTATGACAAACACATTAAAGGAGATTCTCTCCAATCTCTTTTTTACTTCATTTTCTTGAGTTCGTGGGCACATGGTATTGGCTAAGCTAATTTGAGTTATCCTTGAATTATTGTGTTTGAGGATTAACAGAGATAGAATGAAGCCATGTTTCTGAAAGTTGCTTTTGCACTTTTCTTCTTTTATTTCTTTTTCCAGTTTTCTCTTTAACCCTTTATTCCTTCCTGGGTTTTTTTGGACCTTAAACACAACAATATGATAGATTGTAATAAACAACATCCTTGTACGTATCAACACATGACCACTTCACTTTGGTTCATTTTCCAGACAAAGGACTTTCCATGTGGACTATGAGTAACTAGCACTAAGTTCCAAATCATGTTCCACCCCCATTAAGCCTGTAATTTTGTTTGCAATATTGGCCGATATTTGCATAATCTGAGTAAGATTTCAACTTATATCCAATTTAAAATGCTTTTATCATGACTTTAGCTCTTTGTGAACCTTTATATACTTTTATTGTACATATACTTTTTTCATGCTTTTTGAAATGAATCTTTATCTCAGCACTATATTCTGTAACAAGATTAGGATTTTCATAGGGTTCTACAACTCTCTTGGGCATCTAAGGGAGAGCTATAAGTGAATCCATTTTTATCTCACATTAAAAGGGAAGATATTTATCGGTATATACACATTACTCTTTCGCACTCGTCAAATTTAGATTTTTATACAGGGACGGATTATTTTTTTCG